AAAGTATTAATTGTGGAGAAGTTCTTCAAGGACAGCAGTGCATGGGATGGAGCCAACTGGAGAAGCTGGTGAAGAGCTGTATCCCATTAGTGAAGAGCTGTATCCCATGGGAGGGACCCCATGCTGGAGCACAGAAAGAGTGTGAGGAGGAAGCAGCAGCAGAGAAAAAGAAGAAGATTTTTGAACAGACGGCAAGCCCCATTCTCCATCCTTTAATGACACTCAGGGGAAGAAAAGAGGTAGATAGATTAGGTGTAAAGTTGAGACTGGGAAGACAGTGGGGAAAGAAGGGGGGCACATGTGGAAGGTGGGCTTGGTTTTGATTTTATTTCTCACTATCATCCTCTGTTATTAGTTGTCAATAAATTGAATTTCACAAAGCTGAGTATGTTTTGCCCAAGACAGTAAACAGGGAGTGATCTCCCTGTCCTTATCTCAAGCATTTATGGGCTTTTTCTCCCCCTGTCCTCCTGAGGCAGGGGAAGTGATCAAGCAGCTTGGATAGCACCTGGTGGCCAGCCAAGGTCAACCCACAGGTATATGCAAAACACGAATTGACTGTCAATCTGAGAAGCCATTTTTATTATGCTCTAGAGAAATATGAACATGAATTGAGACTAAGGGGATTCTAAAAAAAAACAGCTCAGCTTCTTGCATGAATATGACGACAGGAACATTCAGAGGAAAAGGTGAGCTGACATTAGTGAAGTGTATGTCTCACTAAATGTTACTATGAAATAAAACTTGATGAGCTGCTTGTGATTGCTCAATAAACCAAACTGAGACACTACTATTTATGTAAAAAGGGAACACATAAGAAGAATATATAAACTTATTGTATAAACTTATAGGTCTTATGAATAAACAAATTATCTGTTCTGACACCAGCTAGGTACTGTTAGTGTAATCAAGATTAAATTGGACATATATTTTGGAATCTCTTCATTTGAAGGGAATTATTAGAAAAGGTTTGCTTGAATTTGTTGGGAAAAAATTTAAACAAACTTTTCTATTTAGTTTTTCCAAGAAACTTTTTTACCAAAATAAAAATCAAGAAGACCCACAAGTCTCTCTTTATGTTCTTTTTCATATGAGCTGTCACATATGTAAGAAGACAATAAATAGGTAAACTGAGCACAAATAGGCAACTCTGAAAAGAATGTCACTGTCTAGAAATTACAATGGTGAAAGCAATAAGTCTGAAGTCTTCTGTAAAGACTCTACAAATGATACAAATAAGGTTCAGTAAATAGAAAAACTTCCTCCTACCTTCAGATTGGATCTATTCTTTCTTCTGAGGAAGTCAATAAGCATCTACTGCTTTCAGAGCCCAAGAGAAACTATTTCCTCTAATGAAGAAGCAGAACTCCACTCTCACACGTGTACAAATTGGCATTCACATTTTTCAGTAATCCAAAGCTATAATAACTCGCGGTTGGTTGTGAGCTCACAGATGTCATTCAGTCTCCTGGCACCCAAGCTCCACAGATACCAAATGTAATGATTCTCCTTCCTTGCATCTCACTACTATGAGGACAGATGCATAAGTATTCATGAAGCTTTTAGTTACTGCAATGAATCAGGCCAGAAATACCAGGCTGTTACTCCCCATTCCTGTTCTTTTGTTCTTTTTTTTCTTTATTTCTAACTTGATAGATAGGAAAACACCAAATCCTCAGCACAGGAAGAACATCAACCTATTGAGGCAAGTCCAGAGGAGGGCCACCAAGATGATTAGAGACATGGACCACCTCTCCTATGGGAAAAGGATAAGAAAATTGGGATTGTTCATACTGGAAAAGAGAGGACTTCAGGATGACCTAATTGCAACCTTCTCGTACCTGAAGGGAGCCTACAAGAAAAATTGAGAGAGAGAGACTATTCACAAGGGCATGTAGTGACAGGACAAGGGGGAATGGCTTTAAACTGAAAGAGAGCAGGTTTAAATTAGGTATTAGGAAGAAAATCTTTACTGTGAGGGTGGTGAGGCACCAGAACAGGTCATCCTGAGAAGATGTGGATGCCCCGTCCCTGCAAGTGTTCAAAAAAATTTTGGATGCAGATTTGAGCAACCGGGTCTAGTGGAAGCTGCCCCTGCCCATGACAGTATGGTGGGAACGAAATGGTCTTTCAGGTCCCTTCCAACCCAAGTCATTTTATGGTTCTATAGATTCAAACCCTCAGCCTGTGCAGTGGTGCTAAGGTGTGTTAGGTGCCCCAGGCTCACTTGCGGCAGGTAGCACCTGCAGGTGTTCTATCTGCCAAGGGTGACAAACAGTGCTGCATGAGCGCCATCAGCTCCATAAACCCCATCACTGTGCATGAATATGTGCCAGCTCCTCAGAGAACCACAAATAGAGGGATCACTGGATTGCTGCTAAAAATGAAAAGGCAGCAGATTGTCACTAAAAGCAAAATAGGTCAATAGATCTAACTAACTCCATAATCACCAAATCACTAATTTGGTGAGTTTCACTGACAGATTTCCTTCACCTTTTTTTGTCATGGTATCACACATAGAAAAAACACTTATGTTTGTACACTTGAACTAGTAAGATCACCTAAAGAGATCACCTCCAGTGCAAGCTTGGAGGAATCAGCTGAAGAGATCTGTGTCAGCTCACCGGGTCATGGGCTACAACACTGGACAAGTCATAACAGGCTGCATAAACTTCCCTTAGGAAAGGTTTAAGACACACAATACTTTTGAGGAGGTGAGCAAATGATGTCTGGAGCTTCTTTTCAGCTTTGTTTCCTAAGATTTTGGGAAATCTAGTGACAATATCCATTTCTATGTAATAATGGATATGTGGATTCAGAAGAGCAGTTAACAGCCTAAAAGTGAAGATATCATCAGTGGTGAATTATATGCCTACTGAAAATCTAATCTGTAGCCAGTCTGTAACTCTCTAGCTCTTCTAAGTGAACATTTTTATTTAATTTTAGCTACATTTTACTTTTAAAACTTAATTCACTCATAGTTAAGTAGCTCACATTCTAGGTTTGTAAATAGCTTGTCTGGTAAATGCAGGAGAGATGCTGGCAGCAAATATCCACCTTCAATGTTTCGATTAGTTCTGCTTGGCTTGTACCATCAGTTGACTGAATGTGTGATTGTGCACAGTAGATGGAGTAATGTCTTTATGGTGACTTGGCAATTATTTAACCACTACATTGTACCCCAAACTCCATCTTTCCCAGATAAATAAAACAAGTCCATCATTATCCATCCCGAGCAAGAAGAAATGATTACTGCATACATATAATTCACTATAGAAAGATGTAATAACACACTTTTAATGTGCTTCAAGTTGAACTTGCAAATGCACATCCTGCTGTGGAAAGAACTCAATGCAAACATATTATGTTGATTTTCAGGAGGCATTGCTGTTCAAAAGTGCTCAAAGTCTGTTGTATCTGTTGCTATTCTGAGTCTCTAAATCAGGCCCCACTTACTGTGATATCAGTAAAGGGAAGGAGAGGATGAATTCTGTAAATTTCCCTGAAAAGCATGCAGAGCTATTCAGTCACTTGTAAAATTCTGGGGTTTTTTTTGAGTTTCTTAAGATTGCAGGGCAGAGGGAGACAGACCATGACTTCTGGTATGTCACAGCAATCAGAACATGACTTCTAGTGTTCCTCTGTGCTGTAATGATGTACAAAAAAGAAATTGTAGATAAAATATAATATTTTTATTATATTTATGTGTTGGACTGTCTAAACTTTAAAAGTCACTTCCAAGTGAAACCTTTTGGTTCTATGATTCCTGAAGTGTCTTCACAATTTTTCTGAACTGCTTTTTCTGAACTCTGACTTGCAGATAAACCCTCAGCTTGAGCAGCCTTGAAGGTATGATGGTTAGGAAATCAGGCAAGCAGGGATACTGGCACTATGTCACTGAGCCATCTGATTTGTAGCTGTTCTGTAATGCTCATCTCTGAGCTCTCTGATCACTAAATGAGGAGAGGAAGGAAGTCTCTCCAAAACCAGATTAATTTGATATCTGGGGAGACTAAAATCACAAATTCAATTTGTAAGTTTGGTCCTCTTTCTTGCTTTCCTTTATGTTTACTTGCATTCTCATTGGTTGCAATAACTTGGGGTTTCATAGGGTACTGGTCCAAATGAAGAAACTATTTTCCGTGAGCTATGTTGGCTGTTCTTTGAAAAGACTGAGGGTTGAAAGGACTATTCATTCTCTGCATCAGCTTAAACTTATCTGGTCTGTCTTTCATCTGCCTACTGACTTTACTACAATTTCATAATAACTGAAAAAGAGTTTACTTAATTAATTTGATTAGAATTGGCAAGAAAAGTATTTAAGCTTTCCTTACCCTTTCTTTTGAGCCATTCTGACAAAACAAAACAGATCAGTATACTACAAAAATACATCAATAATTTTTAGTAATTTTTTTAAAGACATTGGTCTTCAAAAAATCTTTGAAGTAGCTACAGCAGCTATAGCTACCCAGTTACTGTGTGTAGGTCAGCTCCCAGGCTGTGCACAGGCTTGCTGAAGACAAGCAGATGGTACCTGTGCTTCACAATTCTCCTTGTGTGTATTTGCCTGCAGGATTGGCACTGTATCTCATGTCTTTGAGAAATGCAACTGTTCAGGGAGGGGGGATGGGGAAAGGTATTTTTCCAGTTTACCCCTGCTGCTTTAAAACTGCAGAATCTGGCAGCAGTATAAAAAAATATTTCATTCTTTGTCAGAGTTCATTTTAATGCTTTTTTGGAGATGTGGCAGCAATTTACAATGAGACAGATCAGTACAGTTGGAAATATTTAATTTCCAGAAAGTGGAAGTTCTGGGCTCCTGTGGAGTCCTAAAGCCTGAAGCTAATATATGGGCCCCAACCTTGCTTTCATTTAAGTCATTGGCAGAATTCCCATTGATTTCAAGTGAAGTAGGCTTGGCCCAGTTTCAACCAAGGAGTATTATTAGATTTAACATTTTAAACCCACAAACATAAGGAGCAGTCTTAACATTATCGTTATTGAGCATTTTATTTTCAAATGCATTTGACAGTATATTCAAACAAAGAAATGTGGCTTATCTTTTAAACTTTCAACTTGCTAGGTTGAGCAAAATGGAAACTGCTTTCAATTAAATAATGCATTGAAAAGTATCAGGACAAAATTGCCTTTGACAGAAGAAAATACTGTATTTATCTCATTGTAATCCATTCATTGGTTTATGGCTCCAGAATCCTCAAGCAAATATCATAAATCCACATGACATCCGTGCATGTTCTAGCAGATGTTGCATTTGGGTCTCAGAGTTCGCTGAGAGATGTGTTAAAACTCATGTAACCAGGTAGCTTCTTGTCAGCCACCCATCTGAGAAGTCTCGGAAGTGCTAGCGATTATGAAACTAAGCACCAGAAATTGGCTCCAAATATGTCCACTGCAGAGAAGAAGACCATGTGAAGCTGAAATCTCCCAGAACGAGCTAATCAAAACACTTTGGAGATTTCTGACATAACAGTTCTGAGAGAAATTCAGTTTTAGGGGCATGTATGCAAACCCCAGAGCTAAAAGTGTTGCCAGGATGAAAGGCTGCTCTAACCAGCTCTGTCTGGCACTGTTTACCCAAGTGATGGAGCATTGTCCTACCTCTTGTATCTCGGGGGAAAGGTGAGGGGATGGGTTGCCTACTCTTCAGTTGTGCAAGTGACAATACCTCATGGCAGACACTGCACAAACAACAAAAGGGCAAAAGAGCACATGTGCCAGGTGCCCCAAGGAGAGTGAGTTGGATCCTGTTTTGGGTCTATGTACGGTTTAGCAGGAGAGAGAAGGGCAATGAGGAGAGGGCTTTGGGATTTCTGAGCCCCGTTTGAAGGCTCCTCTGGAGGTTGTGGTTCTTTGAGACCACCCTCAAGAGGGTGTGGGACTGCTCAGTTGTGTCCCTGATGGCAGCAAGCAGCAACAACTTCATCACAAGGAATGGCTTGACTAGACCAGGTGTGCTTGGCTCTCCAGTCTCTTCATAAACAGGGCTCTCAGAAGGAACTTCTTCCCCATTCTGTCCTGTGGAGCCTCTGGTGTCTGCTTACTCAGTGTTGCTAGCTGTAATACACTTGCCTGGGGTACAGCTGGGTGCAGAGGATCCTTTATCCAGAGGACGCCTTCCCCCCTACTGGAATCTGGATGTGAATGTGCTTCTAACTAGTCCGTTACAGTCAGGCTCTAACAATAAAACAGTAATATTTGAACTGTGCTCTTCCACTATGCCTTAAATGTTGATTAGGTTTTGTTTGCTCAGTTGTGTATAAGATTTCTATGATGTGTTTGATTTCCTTTTGTGCTATTCAAATAAAGGAAACAAAATTCAAAGGCAGTCAAGAATAGGGAAGTTATATCCTAACTTCTTGGAGCTAAGGGATTTCTGAGAAAGTACTGTGAGAAGCTTTAGCAAATGGCTTATGAACTGCATGGGCCAAAGTGTGAGCAGGGACTTGGGCTGCCAAGAGCTACAAATTTCCTCTCTATCTGCTCTCACAGAGGGAGGGGGGAAGAGTGACTTGCCACTTTCAGAAGAAGTGATCAAGGCACCTGACATGTTACAGGTCTGCCAGGGGCTCCAGTTGTCACAGGCACATGCTTAACACTGACCATGAGAACACAAAGTATGAAAAAGTACTTGGGATTTGTTTGTTTTCCACTAGGACGAAGTGAAAATTACTTGTCTTGTAATTGGATGCTCAATAAACAAATTTACTGCAACATTCAAGCTTCCTACCGTTTCCATGCTGAGTTCAAATGGACAGGATTAAGGGGCTAGTGATAGTACCAGTAACTGAAAAATGTACGATGGGTTAAAAAATTAACTGTAGTACACTGATGGCTGAAGGAATCTGATTGTATTTACAATATAGAAGATGAACCTGTTCATCCACTGCTCTCTACTACAGCAACTGCAGATGTTGCAAGCACTGTAACTGAAGGAAAATTATTCTGCTAATTTTTATACTGAAAATCCCATTCAAATGAACAATAACTGCAATTTACCATGTATCCAGAATCGTTCTTCTCTGCAGACTTCAATAGAGACCGGTGAGTCTTTCCTCAATCCATCTGATTTCATGTTTGTTTATCATAATACAGAGGGGTCATGTACCAAGTAAACAGGTAGTTTTAGAAAGTTAATGCCTCTTGAGTTATTAGATGAGACTTGGTACCTAAGCAAACAGAGAGATATAAATGAGTCAGTTCCAGGAAGGGATTACAACTACATAACTCAGTTTATCCATGGAAGATAAAACTCCTATAAGGAGTCATCTTCATTTCAGGGTATAATAAAAAATAAGTAGTTTTTAATTTTTAAAATATATTTTTAGAGGCTTGATCCTTTTTCACTGAATGGGGTGGTTTGTCACTGAATCAGGCATTGAGTAGTCCGAGTCAGACCATTATTGAAATCTGAAAACAATTAATGCAGAATGAGTATTTCAGAATAGCTTGCTACATTATACATCTTTAGAATATACATTCTGAAGTATACCTGTGATTTCCTAGAAATATTCAGTACCTCTAATAAGGGGGAAAATGCCAGGATGAGATTGATTAGGTTTTTTTAGTTAAAAGTGTATACTTTCTTCTTCCTACCAGGTGTAACAACTAAGAAATCTTTGACATTTCTCTTTCAGAAAATTACATAAAACACCAATTCTAAATGCTGTCTCATTATCTACAGTTGATGCTCTTACTGTTCCTTTTTATAATGCCAATTTTTCAAATGCCTTTTGAGTCAGTGCCTCACTCTAGTAGCCATTGTGTCTTTGAACACTCTATTTTGCCCAGCGCCTAAATTGCTGAGTACCCCAATTCTTGAAGACGAATTACTGCAATGAAAAATATTCAAACATCAAAATGGCTGCTGTGTTTGATAGAAACTGCTTTAAAGATTGAAAGTGGCCTAGCCTAAATATTCCCAGTATTAGCGACGCATTAGAGAAATCAGAAATGCATTTACCATTTAATACATTAATGACTCTAGAGCTGGTCAGATAAATGCATCAGAAAATACAGTGTGTAACTTCCTTACCTCTGTGTTCTCTTTTTCAAGAACTGTTGTTTACACTGATATTTCCTGTGTTGATACAGAAGTTATGCTACCTCTGCTGGTAAATCTGGCTATTTTAATCTGTTTATGTGTTTATGTGTTGATCCAGCAAAAATGTGCTTGGTACATCCTCTGGTGGCAACACATGGAAACATCAGTTGGGTGTGCAAAAAAACTGACTCTTCAGTTTCTGTCTTCACGTATTAGAGCTGCCTTTTCCCTGCTTAGGCAGAGGAAAACTCATGGGTAAGAGTGTTCAAGAAGAGCTGCTGGAAAGCAGACCACCTTCAACTCAGGCCAGGCTGCCTCAGGACAGCATCACAGAACTGTTCACCACAGGAGTTCAGAGGGCTCACAGCACAATCATGCCACAACTCTTCATTTTCACCCCTCCATGCCATCCTGCCACCTCAAACTATTACATTTTTATGGAAGAGAAGCAAAATTGTGTAAGTCGGTTGTGGTTTATTAACCCTGGCAGGCCACTCATGCCCAAACAAACTGTAGCAGCCCTTTTGAAGCACTGGCACTCAGAGCAGGTGGTGAAACCCCATGCCAGGGAGGGACATACTCTCAGTATTTAATACACTGAGGTGACTCTCAGTATTTAATGCAAAGTAAGAACAAAGTAAGGAGGATTGAAGCAATTTTCCACTAGGATGGATGAGCCTGACTGAGCAGAAGGGGACAGCTTGGGCTTTGAGAACCAGCACCACAAAGTCCCCTCACCTTTCTCTCTGCTTCTTCTTCCCAGGCGGCCTAGGCATGACTCCTTCTCAATGCTGAAAGCCAGTGAGTAGGACGATGTCACGTATGGATTTAAAATGTGCACCAGGAATTAAGAAAGTGCTATGAAATAGGTGTGAAATTATATTAATTTAAAATTGATTAGCACATGATTGTCTGAGGAGCATGTGTTAATAGCCTCTTTTCTGATCAGGAAGTTTACTGTTTTATCCAAAACATAGTTATTTGTAATTTTTTTTCTTTTTTTACCCTTTGACCTTCAGGATATGGGCAACAGGCAAGATGTTTTACTGTACTACTTTTCACTCCAGCAACAAAGGAGGATTAGTTACTATTTAATCAGCTGCTTTCTTCCCAAGACTTGCTGATGAAGCCCATGAAATTAAGTTGTTCAGATTTTGCAGTCCAGGAGAGTAGATGCTGCCAATGGCAAATTTCTGTCTGCCAAAGTGAGCACCATGAGGGAGGTAGAGAAGACAGGAAAGAGGGACATCAGGAACTACTAGGAGGTGGTACCAGGTGGGATCAGTAGTATCTCATGGTCACTTGCACCACTGTCCTCAGGTGGGATGGTGGCTTCTCTGTACCACACAGATTACTGACTAAACAAAATTAAGAAAAATTCTTGGTGCAGAAAATAGTGGAGATGGGCACCATGCATTGGTCAGGGGAAAGGACTGTTAACAGATGCAAACACAGCTTTAAAACAAGTAAAAGTTTGTTAGGAAGAAGACAAATTTCTGTGTCACTGCCTGAGGGCACTGCCAGGACTCTTTCTGTTCCCAGGGAGGTGCATGATATGGGACAGTGTTTGCTCCTGTCTCCTGGCTGGTCCTGGTTGAGGTGGTGGAACAAGACTGTCTCCCAGGCCCTGTCTTGACACCCCAGGGAGCCCCCAGTCCTCATGGTGCCCTGCTGCACTGCGATATCCCGAAGGACCCAAGAAGAATCGGGGAAAGGCACGGGGACATGGTCACTGAAGCTGAATGTGGTTAGCCCAGAGGAAAACCTTTTTAAGGAGATGAGGAAGGCTCACAAGGGAAGGTCTCTGAAGCAAGTTATACAAATACCCATCAGCCACTCTTGCCTCAGTGATGGGATAGGACTAGACAGAGCAGATCAACATCCCTGTGTTTTTACAGCAGAAACAGGCTCATCTACAGCAAGAGGAGACCTCCTCTGCTGAGCAAATTCTCCTGGCCAAGCCTGCTTCAAGGTGTCTCATTGAACTTCGCCGAAGTAAGGAACATATGTAGGAGGAAAAAGCTTTATTTTGGCTACTCCTTTACAACTTTCCTTCAACGACCCAGGAAGGATCAAGCTCTTTCACTACTCTTTTCAGCTCAAGACATGAGCACCTGGATCCAGCAGTGGAACTTCAGACTTCCATCAGGGCCACTGGGGTGGCTCTACCTTTCCCTCCCAAAGCAGACGTGATCTCACTGCAGGTACCATTGAGACCCATCCATTTCCAGACACAGCAGTAACCCCTTTTTCAAGAGACTGACTACATGGCTAGGCAGAACCAGCACCATTTTGTAGTAACTTGCTGTGAAAAATCAATATTTACTGCCTGCAACTCTAGTATTGAATTATTTATTTGAGAATTTAAGTATTTGAACACATATCAAAGCCAATCATATCCTGGGCTGAATCAAAAGCAGCATGGCCTGCAGGTCAAGTGAGGTGATTCTGTCTTCTACTCCACTTGCATGAGACCCCACCTCAAGTACTAGTTCCATGTCTGGGGTCCCCAGCATAGCGAAGATATTGACCTGTAGGAGCAAGTCCAAATGAGAGCCACCAAGATGATTAGAGGAATAGAGCACCTCTCCTATGAGGAAAGGCTGAGAGAGTTGGGACTGTTCAGCCTGGAGAAGAGAAGGTTTCAGGACGACTTCATTTTAACCTTCCAGTACCTGAAGGGAGCCTACAAGAGAGATGGAGAGAGACTACTTACAAGAGCATATAGTGACAGGACAAGGGGCAATGGCTTTAAACTGAGAGTAGGTTTAGATTAGACATTAAAAGGAAACTCTTTACTGTGAGAGTGGTGAGGCACTGGAACAGGTTGCTCGGAGAAGATGTGGATGCCCACCCCATCCCTGCAAGTGTTCAAGCCAGGCTAGATGGAGCCCTGAGCCACCTGGTCTAGTGAAAGGTCTCCTTGCCCATGGCAGGGGGCTTGGAACTAGTATCTTTAAGGTCTCTTCCAACCCAAATCATTCTATGATTTTGTATTTATTCAAAGTGCATTATTAAAAGGATAAACTGTTAGATACTCTGAGTACTAGAATGTCTTACTACAGCTCTGGCAAGAGGAAAACTTGTGATAAAACATGATAAGCCCACAATAAATAGCTTCCAGTCCATCTCCTACTGCTCAGAGATGTTTAACCTGAAGTAGCATGTAAGAGATAGATCCTTGACAGAGCTCTGGAGAAGTGGAGCATTTGGGCCACCCCTACTGATTGTAGGGATTCCCGCAAAACAGGAAATAAAGAGAAATTTTTTTGTATAAAAACACATGTTCTGGAGATCTCTAAGTCAGGAAAAGAGAACAGATCCATTCATATTGTAGCTGTTGCTGAAGGACTAATAGGAGTGACAAAGAGTGGAAAATTCTTTCTGGGAGATGATGTCTGGACATGCACAGAGGTAGGCTATTTATTTGATTGAAAGGTGACTTAGTCACATTTGGAGAAAAGTGTTACACTTTGTCCAAATCCAATCACTCTACCATCATATCAAGGTATCTTACACAATGAAATGGGCAAAAAAATTATAAACATTTTTCCCAAGAAGTGCCTAAGCTCTTTTATATGCCATTAGTCCCCAGTTTTATCCTTTTATTTAAGACTTCCGAAAGTAAAACTATCTTTGTCACTCTCACTGCATCTACAATGAGATTCCTGCATTCCTGTCTGAAGTGGTCAGCACCCTTGCCTGGCTCTTCACTTAAGACCCATCACCTGATCGCAGTGACAGGAAAGATTCTGGATTTATTTTGATCAATTGGTGTCCCTCCTGTTTTCCTTCTCATATTCTCATTCAACTGCCCCCCTAATTGTATACCTGACCTCCTTTCATCTGATAAAGTTCAAAGTTTAGTGTCACTTCTGACTTCATCTTTGGCAGGGATGCAGCAGCTTTTCCTTAGGTTGCTCTCTTTTGAAGTCTTTGAGGCCAGTGATGCTCTCTTAGACTGCATCTCCATCCTGTGTCTGTCTGAGGCACAAGCACTGGATGTGCCAAGCCTGTAAACCCCTCGAAAGCATGGTCTGACTCCAATGGCTAAACACAGATCTCAGCAGGCAAGCATCAGGCAATGGAGTTACCTGGTGTGGCAACCATCCACAACAGCTGTCTCTTATCCA